AAGGTATATAAATCACCAAGTCGACTGTGATAACTGGGACCCCATTAAATCAAACTCCAAAGGTCCAAACTTATCTCATGTTTTCTTTGCCGACAACCTTACCTTGATGGCTAAAATTAATGATAAAACATGTGCCACTATTTCTAATACACTTTCTATCTTCTGTAACTTATTGGGACAGAAAATCAACTAAAAAAAGTCCAAGATCCTTTTCTCTAAAAACTGTCCTAAAAATCTTCAAGAAAAAAATTCCCAACCTCCTTAATATCTTCACTAGCAATAATTTTGGTAAATATTTAGGTTTTTCAACTATCTATAAGTCCCCAAATCCTAAGGACTTCCTATATATTCTTGATAACATGAGAGCTAAACTTGTTAATTGGAAAATAAATTGCCTAAACCTAGTCGGACGTGCTACCCTATTACAATCCACCCTTAGCAATATTCCAAACCATGCCATGCAGTATTTTCAACTTCCCAAAAAAACTCTTAAACATATTGATCGCCTACAAAGGAATTTTTTATGGGGCACCACCCAAGATAGAAAATGCCTCCATCTCATAAATTGGGATATTGTTACTACTCCTAAGGAGAAAGGGGGCATTGGCCTAGTCAAAGCTGCTACAAAAAATCAAGGCCTTTTAGCTAGCCTTACTTGGCGTCTTTATAACAACCCAATGGCCCCTGGGCTAAGGTCCTTATCAACCAATATTCTTATAAACCCTCCCCAAAGAACACCTCTTTCGTATGGAAAAATATTGTGCATGGATAAAATCTATGCACTAAGGGTCTTGCATGGAATATAGGTAAGGGAGATCGTTTAAACCTTTGGAATAATAGATGGATCCCAAACCTCCTCCCACTAAGATCTCTGATCCAAGGCCCCGTAAATTTTAATGAAGAAAACCTTCTAGTAAAGGATGTTCTTACTAACCACAATTGGAACCTAGAGACAATCTCCTTCTCCATTCCTAGCGATATCATTAATGTCATTCAAAGTATTCATATCACCAATCCTATTTCCACTAATGATAAGCCATACTGGTTTCCCAAAAATAACGGCATGATTAGCATAAAATCCGCTACTAATCTTATCACTCCTACTAAGGAGCCCATCCTAAATCTTTCCTGAATTTGGAACCTAAAGACACCTAGGAAAATTAATTATTTCCTTTGGCTTTGCTACCACAACAAATTTCCCTCTAGATCGTATCTTCATCACATAGGTCTCAACATTGATGACCAATGCCCAGTTTGTAGGCAAGGCAAGGTAATACTTTCCCACATATTCCAAACATGTCCCATAGCCCACAGATTTTGGGCAGACTTTGGTATCACCCTACCCACTTCTGACAATATCCACTGGCTTGACTCGATTAGATTCGCGCAACCAGCAAAATCATTCCTCTCGCTTAAATGGGATGATATATATCCCTATGGACTCTGGCACCTTTGGCTTAATCATAATAGCAATAATTTTAATAATGAATCTTAGGATGTCTCCCTCTCCCAAACTCTCAATAGAGCTGCCGAGTTCAAGTATCTTACCGGTACCATCCCTTCTTAAATGTCAAAAACATCATCATCAATTGGCAAAAATCTAGTCCGAGCTCTTATAAACTTAATAGTGATGGTGCTTATAATATTAATAAGAACATTGGTGGTATGGGAGGAGTCATATGAAACAGCTTTGTCCAATGGATACTAGGCTTTCAAAGACTTTCTAACGTTATTAGCAATACTCAAGCAGAGCTCCTTGCGTTGGAAACAGGTCTTAGAATTGCAAATCACTTTAAGCTCCGGCCCCTTGAAATCGAAACCGACTCATTAGAGGTAATAAATCTCCTAAGTACTGATCATCAAATTTATAACCACATCATTTCTTCATGCAAGTGGTCAATGGCCCAGTTGGGGACCCCGGTGCTCAGGCATAACTTCCGGGAAGCAAACGTTGTGGCGCATCTTTTGGCAAGGGAAAGTACCGAGCTTAGTAATATGAATAAAACAATCATCCTTCATGCACCTACGCCAATGGTGGAGGCAGCAGTGAAAGATGATGCTGCAGGGAAATCCTACTCCAGATCAATATCGGAAGAATCTTGTAATATGCTAGCTAGTATGGGAAATATTAATGCAGCTAACAACATTACTACTTTTGTAACACTCCCCAGTTTCGATCCCAGTGGGATGACTGAGAGTGATCTATGTAATATTTCTTAGCATCTAATAAAATTTTCTGTTTTCAACCAAAAAAAAAACAAAAAGAAATCTTAGTATGATTAACACAATTTTCGGCCTACAAGAGTACTAGATTATTGTTGTAATTTTCTCATTCTATTATGTTATTTAATGTATTTTTTAATCTATGTCAGTTGCTATTGTATTAAATATTTGTTTTTATGATAATCAATGAACATTGTGTTATTTATTAACAATATATTATATTTCAGATTTGTACTTTTATTTTTTTGATGGTTATATATTTTTATACAATTATAATTTATAATAAAATTAACTTATAATTTTATATAAAAATAAAATATAAAAAATTAATTTATAAAAATTCTACACCAAAATTAAAATACAAAATTGATATTATAAATATATTACATAAAAATTATAATTAATTACAAAATTATAATATGTTAAATTAAAAGTGTTATATGATAAAAGATAATATTAAAATAATGGTGAATACTAATTGTGTTGATGAATAGTGTTACACCAAATTTAGTGTAATACTATTCACACACCAAAATGAAAGAAATGGTATTGGATTGGAGAAAAAAAACACCAAATCTAACACTAAAATGATATTTGGTGTCAAAAGTGGTGTTGGGTTGGAGATGGTCTTAGGGAGATGTACTTAGAAAACTTAGTCCATATTAGATATTGGAAATGACATAATCAAAGTTAATTATTGTAAGTTTGAATAATATAAATGGCCCTACAAAGATGTTACTGTATGTTTTACAGTATATATTATCAAACCTCATACATCTTAATATAAAATCTCATGTGAAATAGATCATGCAATTAAAATGATATTTATAAATTGGTCATATAACAATGGAACATCTAAAAAAGATGCAATTGAAATTGCGTCGTGAATAATTGAGTTTTAGTAGCTTCCTTACTACTAATGTCCAAAATTAATTAGATGAGTTTGTATTTTGCTAACTTCTAATTACTTCAAGGGAACACAAATACGCAATTAGCTATTTAATGACTTTGTATTTTCAATAATGCCTAGTTGGGCGAGTTTGAAACTTGGAATTCAAAGTGTCCTTGACCAGGAGGATCTTCTGTATTTCTTTATCAGTTACGTTGTAATGTTGATAAAAAACATAGTACTAATAGTCATCAATAGGAAATCTTATCTTAGGAAATATGGCACGTCAAAAATAATTTATGAAATCTTCGAACAGCAAAAAAGAAAGAAAAAAACCCGTTTGGTACGCAAAGCATGCCACAAGGTCTAGAAAACGGTCGTACCCCAAAAATGTGATATCAACAGCCTGTTGTCGTCAATAGGAAATAAAGCAAATAAAATGATAGCTTGATGCACAAAGCATATTGCAAGGTCGTACCTCAAGGAACGTAATATCGACGGTTTGCTGTCGTCAATAGGAAATAAGGCAAATAAAAGGATAACTTGATGCACAAAGCATGATGTCGGATTTAGGAAAGAGCCGCACTCTAATAGAGTAACAATGTCTTTCACGACGCGACCCTTTCATAAAGCAAGTAAAACAACCGCTTTAGGCCCCATATTTGTGGAGGCCCCATTTTTTGTTACATCTAATAGACTATGTATAAGTTTAAAAAAAGTCTATAAAGTGAAAAAGTTTGATTTCTTTCTTTAACAAATATAGAGAAGAAATGTTTGCAACTACTATGATTTCTATCAAGGAAATTGCACTTGAAATGAATATCGAACCCGAATTTCGTAAGAAACGTGTGATATAGGAAGTAACAATTTGATGCGAATGTTGATAATGAAATCTCAAAATCTTTCGAAGAGTCCTTTAGAGTTGATTACTTTTATACATAATAGACAAGGCTATTTTTTCACTTCAAAATAGATTTGAACAATTCAAAGCATATGAAACTATTTTTGGTTTTTCTATTTGGCAGTAAAAACTAAGATCACTAGATGTTGGAAATTTGAAAAAAATATTGACTTAATCTTGAATGTTCCTTAAAGCATAATAATCAATTCGCTATTGATGGTTTAAATTTATTTTCTGAATTAAAAGTATTAAGGAAAATAGTACAGTTAGAAGATAACAGTTTAATTGATACATTTAATCAAATAAAAAGATTTAATTCTTTTTCAAATGCCTTAATAACTCATGTTACCGTTGCTTCAGCGGAAAGAAGTTTTCAAAATTAAAATTGATAAAATCTAATCTAAGAACAACAATGTCACAAGAAAGCTTAAATGGATTAGCTATATTGTCAGTTGAGAAATATTTATTAAGAGTTATTGATTATAAGAAAATCATTAATAACTTTGTAATTAAGAAAAACTGCAAGACTTCAAATAAATAAATAAATAAATTTAAAAAGTTAAAACACCTCATAAAATTTGGCTTTAGGCCACAAAATTCGTCGGGCCGCCCCTGCACGACTCGAGTGCGTGACCAATATATTAAGCAAAGACATTAGACAACTATACGTTGTTCCGAGACTAGCCTTAGGATCTTTGAACAAAAAATAAATGCAATTTAATTGGTTAAAGATTTTTCGTTTACGGCTTGCAGTTGCCAATACTCTCACAACAACAACAGGAATTATCCAATACGGCTTTCCACTTCCCATTCTTTATTTGTACAAAAATTGGCATTTTACCACTCCTCAGTTTCACCAACCGTGATGCTAGCTCCATCAACTACCTACTAAAATCTGCCACGTAGACAAAATCAAGGGCAGAATAGTACTTAGAATGAGCAGAGTACTCAATGATTACACAACAATCCAAAAAGTAGCATCAACAAGTATGGCCATAGCTTGAACCATCAAAATCACATATATAAAGAAGCTACAAATAAGTTTATCACTACACATATCAAGAAAAAACAAAACACCCACATAATAAAAATTCAATCTTTAAGCTCATCACACCAAATTTTCAACTTTCTTGAATCTTGTTTTTGTGAGTTGTAACAGAGGTTTTAGATTGTGGGGTTTGAGGATTTTTTCAAGATTTAGGTGGAAATTGAAGATGTGGGGTTTTGGGGGAAGGTATTATTGGGGGAGAAAAGAGAGAGGGAAAGTGGAAGGAATAGTTGTGGTTTTCGCATGGATGTCAAGTCAAGATCGCCACCTCAAGAACTATGTTGACCTCTACTCTTCTCTTGGATGGAATTCCCTTGTTTGCCACTCTCAATTCCTTAACATGTATGCTCCTTTTTTCTGTTTCTTAGCTTAATTTTGAAGTCTTAATCCCAATTAAAAATCAAATAATCATAATGAAATTTGAGTTCCTTGTTTGCCTGCCTTCATTTGCCTGAATTAGTTAAAAGTTAGGTTCTTTTATGACTTTCTGATCACTAGAAGTAGTACATCATAAAGATAGACTGTGAGTCAATTTAGGCTGGAGACAGCTTTCCAGCAGTGTAGTAACAAATTTAGGCTGGACTTATATGGTTTTCGATGAACTTTAATAGTGAGAAATGGTGGTGCAAAAATTGAACTTAAAGAGAGATGAACTTATCCATGTTTAGTAGATCTCGGTTAATATAGAGAATTGAACTCTGGGTTGTGGAAGTGAGGTAATCTTATGTTTCTATAACCTAAATGTAACTTGTTCTGATTTTCTGGTACCATCTTTATTGGAGCTTTCCAAAAAATTTATCGGAGATTTCTCTCTTGTCTTGTCTTGTCGGATAGGAATATAGAATAATGGCGGATGTAAATAACGTATATCAGATTTTGGATTTTGTTGGCTCCTTAAGTTTCAGATAGGAGTCAATTACATGTTCTGTACATTTTCGTAACCTCTGGATGCTCATTAATGAAATGCTTTTATTACTGATAAAAGATAAAAGGTGGCGGATTCCAGGATAATCTCAAACTTACCCTTATTCTGGACTTCTAGTCATATATTTGGTGGTGTTCTCGTATATTAGCTGCTTTTTTCTCATGCGGTCCAACTTTTAAAGTAAGAGAACTTTCAATGTAGACTTATGGGATTGTTACTCATTAATCTTGCAGGTTTTTTCCTGATAAAGCTGCAGCATTGGCAGCAAATATTGTGAATGAGCTTATTGAGGTAAGTCCTATGTGAAGTTACCATCTTTTTTCTTCGGTTGTAAAAGCAGGTATTTTTATTGATAATGTAAAGCAAAAATGGAGATGTTAAAGCAAAACAACAAGAAGAGTAAAATGTAAGGGTCTGGAAGGATCTAGTTTACATATAGCAAAATCTTACTAATAAGGACCAAAAGAATCCACGAACTTCACCAGCTCTTCAACTCCTTCTGTAACTCTTCCTCCAACCAAAAATTGGGAGTCCAAGGCATTTGAGTCGGTAAATCCATGCTCCACGCACGATAAGGATCATTGGTGGGTTGTGAAAACCTTATTATATGGATAATCTTCTTTGAATTTCATGGGACAGTAATAGCTCTCTATTTCTCTCCTTCAACAACATCTGCGTGATAAGGCAACTTGGGACCTCTTTCCAGATTCTGTGTCTTCAGTTTTCCAACATTCACTCTGTCCAAGCAGGCAATGCCATCATGAATCCCATATGATGCATGTTAACATTATGAAGTAGTCTCGTTCACCCTCTCGGTGAATTATCTTGCATCAGGATTCGCTGGTACAAACTATTCTCTAGTTTTCCAAAAGTCGGTTTCCAAGGGAATGACCTCCTGTTCCACTAGTATCATATAAGGATGTCACAGAGGGAAAACATCTCTTTTCCAGAAGTCTTGAACCATTTGGAAGGAGATAATCGCCATTTGCTCCATCAAAAATTGAGGCTGTGGTGAGGAAGTTCTACGAGAGCTGCGTCAAAGAGGCTAACCGCAAAGTACTTTCTTTTGTGTCCAATATGAAGTAGAAAGATTTAGACCCGACCTTACTTCTATAGACTGCACACCGTTCTGAATTACGGCCTCATGAGAAACCAATTAGTCCAGATTTCAGATGATTTGAAACGCAAGCTTCTTACTTTCATGAGAGTTACTTTCATGAGAGTGTGTAATTCAGGATGAACCTATCTCAGAGAGGAGTGGCCCAACAAGCAATCTCCCAATAGTCGGTGCAAGTCATCACCAATTTTATGACTAACATGTTTTGAACTCCGTATATTTCTGATAGCCATGTTTTTGTCCGTGTTATGATTTTCTAATGACCACTTTGTTATAATGTTGTATGTGTAGGAACTAAAAGTTAGACCATGCCCTGTTGTCTTTGCATCCTTTTCGGGTGGACCAAAAGCATGCATGTATAAGGTTCTCCAGGTAAGCAACATTTCTTTTGAAAATTATTTGAAAAATGTAATATGATCATTGTTACCCATATGTACATCAGAACATACAACAGTTTAAAATTTATTTTTATTTTTATTTTTATTTTTTATATAGCGTATTCTACTTGGAACAACTAATTTTATTATTCTAATTTTTATCACAGATAATAGAGGGCAAATGTGAAGAACATGTCAATCTGGTAAACTCCATTATGTTTTTCTCTCATGATGTTTATGTCCTTTCCCAATCTATAGATATGATTCATGGAGTCTGCTACAATGAAACAAGCTTGGGCATCGACTTAGTGTTTAAATGTCAATTTAGTTCCATTCCATGACATGATTTATGTTTTCAATTTTTCAAGCTTACTGTACAATTCTATCTAAAAGATTCCTGTACACCAGGAACTTCGTTTGCCTATCATAATACTCTTCTTTTTCTTTATCACGTTTTGGTTGCCTTATCTTCTAAAAGCTTATGTTCCCTCCACCACCCCTGTCATAATTGAGATAGTCCATTGCCTTATTTTTTTAAGTAACATGATAACAGTGTCAGTGATATCTGATCAGATTATTTTGTTTAATTTGAAGGGTGAGTTTCGACTTGTTAGAGACTGTCTTTCGGGCTACATTTTCGATTCTTCTCCAGTTGACTTTACTAGTGATCTGGGTACTAGATTTATACTACATCCAACAGTTCTTGGAATGTCACGTCCTCCTCCCCTAGCCTCATGGATAGCAAATGGAATTGCTTCCAGTTTGGATGCCCTCTTCCTTAGAAGATTTGAATCACACCGCGCCGAGTTTTGGCAGACTCTATATGCTTCTGTTGTAAGTGTCTCTCAGCTTTGATTATGCTCATTTTTGTCGCTCTCTCCTATATTTCTGCTTAATTTAATATTTTTCACAGAGCACGGGAGCTCCGTATCTCATTTTGTGCTCAGAAGATGATGATCTTGCTCCCTATCAAACTATTTGCAATTTTGCTCAGCGGCTTAAAGATTTGGGCTCTGATGTCAAACTACTAAAATGGAGTAGCTCCCCTCACATAGGTATGGTGTTAATCCTGTGGAAACATTCTTGCTTCATGTACCTGACATGCAATCTGGCATCTGCCATTTTAAATCTATTGGATATCAATAAATTTCAAAAAAAAATCCTAATTTTTTTTGTGATCGTGAAATCCGTCTGGAGTCGACCCTTTGGACCAGCTGCATTATTCTAAACTCGGGGATGATGGGCCCGGTCCTCTACCGGTCTCCACTTAAATACTAGAGTTAGTTCGCCTGGCGCATGGCTCGAACCTATGACCTAGTCACAAGTCCCTCAACCTTTGGCAATTAAGCTAACCTCGGGGGGGGGGGGGGTAGGGGTACTATACTAC